ACACTCAGAAAAGAACTGAAAAGGACCTAAGCTCTCAGGTTGACTAGCCTTCAGGCTCTGTACAAGAAAGAAATAAAGATAAGGACTGGTTGTAAACTTCCTGGTTGAGTGCTGAAAGCATACTCCAACATATACACAGAGCCAATTAGCAAAGAATGGGTTTGCGGGGAGGTGAGAGGATTCTAGGCATTCAGAGAAATCTCTGTCCAATCACTAGCTGGCCACTAAGCTAATGGAACAGAGACTTCATTGACCCCACACAGCAAAGATGAACTAATTTACAAAATTAGTTCAAAAGAACCACTAAACAATAACCACTATAGCAAACAGCAACAACAAATCCTGGGGGAAGGGTAAGAATGTGATTTCCTGAGTTGCCGCATTATATAATATTCAAAAAGCCCACTTAAATGATATCTTGCCGATAAAGATTATCATTAAAAAGACATATTAAAAAAGAATCAAATATAAATTCTGGAATTAAAAAGCACAATAACTGAAATGAAAAATTCACTAAAGGGGATATACAGAAGATGAGAGCAGGAAGAAGAAAAAATCAGCAAACTTGAAGATAGGTCAGTTGAGATTATCCAGTGTAGGAACAGAAAGAGAAAAAAAAACTGAAATGAAAAGACAACAGTAATTTGAATCCATATAAAATAAATACAAAACATCAGTAAAGGTAACTAAATAGTTAAGTATGAAAGTCAGTATTGTTTCTGGTTAGTAACTCCTATTTTTTATTAGATTTAAAAGATAATTATATAAAGCAATAATTATAAATCCACATCACTAGACAGACAACGTATAAATATATAATTGTTTTAATAGCAAAAACCACATTTATTGAAAAAGGAATCAAATTTATTTGTAGCTTGGTAATAAGGGATTTGAAAACAATATTTTTAATTAAAGAAATGATTTAAAATTTTTCCCCCTTTTACTTTTACAAATTATAAAGACATAATTTGTGGTAATAACAACATAAAGGCAAGAGAGAGAAAAAGAAAAAAAAAGACAAGAGAGGATGGAGCTGTATTTTTAAAAAACTTTTTGTATACTACTGAAATTAAGTTGGTATTAATCCAAATTAGATTGTTATAAATTAAGATGTTAATCACCAGAGAAGCTACAAAGAGAAAAAAACTAAAAAACATACAGAATTAGAAATTAGAAGAGAATAAAAACAGCATACTAGAAGAAAATCAGTCATAAAAGAAAATAGTAATAGAGGAATTGAGGAACATAAAAGATACAACATATAGAAAACAAGTAGCAAAGTGGCAGAGGTCTTTCCTTATCAGTAATTACTTCAAATGGAAATGGATTAACCTCTCCAATAAAAAGGCAGAAATTGGCAGAATAGATTTTAAAAAATGATCCATCTACATCTGTCTACAAGAGAGTCACTTTAGAACTGAATACACAAATAGGTTGAAAGTGAAAGGATGTAAAAAGATATTCCATGTAAATAGCAACCAAAAGAGTTATAGTGCTTATACTAATAAATTAGACAAAAATCTTAGGACAAAATTGTTACAAGGGACAAAAAAAGGACATTATAAAATGTTAAAAGGGTCAATCCAACATGAACATATATTTATCAACATATGCATCTAAAAATAAGAACTGACAGTTACAAAATAGTCACGGGGATGTAAAGTACAGCATAGGGAATATAGTCAATAACATTGTAATAACTATGTATGGTGCCAGGTGGGTACTAGACTTACTGGGGGATTACTTCGTAAGTTTATAAATGTCTAACTACTATGCTCTACAACTGAAACTAATATAAAATAATATTAAATGTCAACTCTAATTGAAAAATTAAAATTTAGAAAGGCGGGAAGCCGCCCAAAATGAAAAATATATTAAAAGAAAAACTGACAGAATTGAAGAGAGAAATAGTTCAACAATAGTTGAAAACTATTCTTTTTTTTATGCCAACAGCACAGAAAGTACTCTTTGATATCCCACTTTCAATACAATAAACAACTGTATGCCAACATGATATGAATGAATTCCTAGAAACACACAAACTACCCAAACTGACTCAAGAGTAAATAGAATATCTGAATAGATCCATAATAAGTAGAGTCTGAAGCAGTAATCAAAAAATTTCCAACAAAAAAACAGCTCAGGACTAGGTGGCTTCACTAGTGAATCATATCAAACATTTAAAGAATTAATACCTATCCTTCTCGAGCTCCTCAAATAACTTGAAGCAGAAGGAATACCTCATAACTCATTCTATAAAGCCATCATTACCTTGATATCAAAGCCAAAGACTTCATCAAAAAAAGAAAACCCACAGACCAATATCTCTTATGAATACATATGCAAAAATACTAAACAAAATACTAAACAAAATAGCAAACCAAATCCAGCAGCATATTAAAAGGATGTACACCATAACCAAGCGGGAGTTATCTTAGGAATACAACAATGTTCAACATCTAACATCAAAGTGAGACATCATATTAATAAAGAAAAAAAGTGATTACTTTAATTGATGAAGGAAAGGCATTTGATAAAATCCAACACCCCTTCATGATAAAACCACTCAACAAATAGAAAGGAATTTCTTCAACCCAATTAAGGTTATCTGTGAAAACCTTACAGCTAACATTATATGTAATGGTGAATGCTTTCTTCTGAAGATAAGGAACAAGACAAGGATGTCCACCCGTCACTTCTATTCAAAATTGCATAGAAAGTTCCAGCCAGGGCACTTAGTCAAGAAAAAAGAAATAAAAGGCATCCAAATTGAAAAGGAAGAGGTAAAACTATCTCTATTTGCAGATGACATGATTGCATATGTAGAAAATCCTGGAGAAAACCCCTCAAAACTATTAGCACTAACACATTCAGCAGGTTATAAGATATAAGATTAATGTACAAAAATCAGTTGTATTTTTATATGCTAGCAATGAACAATCCAAAAACAAAATTAAGAAAACAATTCCACTTGCAAAAGTATCCAAAAGAATAAAATACTTAGGTATAAATTTAGGAGGTGCAAGATTTATACAATAAAAACTACAAAATACTGTTGAAAGAAATTAAAGACAAACTGGCACATTTATACGTGAAAGAAACATACTGGGCCTAGGTAAGAATTCTACTCATTGCTACACCAAGAAATTTGTCAGATGTTGCTAGTTTCCACAACTCTCTTAGCAGGAGATAATGAAATATGCTAGGCATAACAGGAATTACCCTTTCAAATCCATACCACCTTCAGGTAACAGCAACCTTCAAGGACAGATTTGGAAGTAAACCCTATTCAGTCCTATTATCTAATGGTAAGATGGGAGAAAGCAGCAATAGACTTAAAGGAGGTAAAATACAAAGCTCAGAGAAGCAGCTACCTCCACACATCACTTCCCCATACACTGAGTTTGCAATGAAAGCACTGCAGCATACATGTTATTATTGCTTCTACTCCTCCAATTATTTATCAAATATACATTAAGAATCAACGTAAGCTAGTAGAGAAGGGTGGAGGGAGGCAGGGACAATCTTTTCATCATTATATCCCCAACACTTAGCAAAGCAGATGGAATATGATAAGGGATCAATAAATAATTATTGAATGAATTATCTTCATGGAAGTGAGTCATGGGAGGGTTCACATGGAACTGTGCCTTGAAGGGCAAATGAGATATGGACAAGTAAAAATGAGGGAAAATGAACACATTAGCAAAAAAGCTGGTACAAGAGGTAGTATATAGGGCTCTGTATTTCCTGACTACAACCTCCTAGATACCCAACAGATAGAGCCTTTCCACCTGGTGCTCCCTTCACTACACTCTAAATAATATGAAGGAATTTGAATTGGAGGAAAAAAAGGACTACAATAATGCACTTTGCTAAGGAAAAAAGTAGATAACGTTACTTTGAGCCTGGAGGGTTGCAATAATTCTGAACCTGGTCGTGGGCCCCTTCTCACTTCAAATAACTCCTATTCATATTTCAAATGCAAATATCCAGTCCTTGTGCCAGAAATATTTCCATGCACCATTCATTCATTCATTCCATCAACAAATCCTTCGTTTCTCCTCTCCAAACACAGGCCCTATATGCTCCCCAATCTACTACCAGACTCAAGTAATTCTAGTTTCTGCACAGGCCCTCGGAAGACACATTCTCTCCGGTGCGTAACGCCTGTATGTAGCCCTATCCCAGTGTTCCTCCCAGTCTCCTCACCCAGAAATCTCAAACTCCCCATCACGCTATGGTCTGTCTGATTTCATTCGAGAGAGCGTTCTGAGCCCCTCTGCAAATTCGTCCACCCATTCCCCATATTCCTGAGCACTTAACTTCCATTCACTCACACACAGCCCTTACTGTGCGCTAGCCTGTGCAAGACAGTACACGGGCGGACCCCAAGGTTCCGCTGGAGCTGTGCAGGCTCGCCCGCGCCTCCACCCCTGCCCCGCGCCCCCTTCACCCCACACGCTTCCAGGCACCGCATGCTCCATGGACACCAAAAACAGGAGAGGCGCGCACACTGCTTCTGTTCCTGTATTTCCGCCCGCCAGGGGAGGCTGGCACCGCCAGGAGTGCAGGGGGCGCTAAGGCAGGAGAGGAGGAAGCGCCACCACTCGCCCGCAGCGTCAGGGCGTTCCGAGACCCGGAACCGGACCGCAGTTAGACTGCGGGCACAGAAGGCTCGCCACGCACGCCTCCCCCGATGCCCAACCGAGCCCACCTTTACGCTCAGCATCGCTGTCGGCGTCGCTCCCGAAGAGGTCCTCCATATCCGCCATCGCCGCGCACCTCTGCTGCTGCCTCGGCTGGGAGCTGCGCCGCGGCTGTCTTTACGGCACGGAACCAACGAAACGCGACAGTGTCGCAAAGATTCTCTGAAAGGATGCTTTCCTTCTGTGACCTAGTTTTCGCCTGCACCTTGAACTTCTGCTTGTTGACTCTTACACGTTCGCACGGTGGACTATCTGCAGTATCTGTATTTATTAGTGAGGATTCTCAGCGGGAGTCGGACTGTCCTCTGTCTGGTTGTCGGTGGAGTGGGCGGTGCTTGGTATGCTCCCCAGAAAGGCCTCTCTGACCGTGTTAAACCAGCCAGGAGTCACGAAGTCCTTTGTTTCATATTGACCAGTAGTTGTCAAATTGTTGAGAACTCCAAAGCTCATTTGTTTGTGTGGATAATAATCTATGGCTATTTACCACATTAGTAATTAAAGAATAAATTTTTTAAAACTCATTTAAAAATAACAAGTTAAATACCATTTTTAAATTTTAAATGACAATTTTTTCTAAGAAAAAAATTAGAAGAGTGGAATTGTTTTACAGCTTTAAAAATGTCTTTAATGTCCAGTTTAAAAGACGACAGCTGAATTTTCTACCTGCTTTTATATTCAGTCTGTTTTGGTTGACGCATGTGAAGAAAATCTCTCCTCATACAGACATGTAATCAGGAAAGGGAGGACCCTCCAGAGTCTCTTCCCCTAAAAGTGTCTTCCTTGGACCACTCTGACAACCACATCTTTAGAGCATCTTTTGAGGGTATCTCAAATACCTTACTTTTTCCATCCTAACTCACACTTCATGTAAAAAATTGAAACACTAAGAGGTAGTCTAAGATGTTTTATTCTCTATTCTATTTCAGCTTTTTTTCATTTTTAATGTTGTACCACTAAATTGATTTCATGATTTACTAATGGATTGCAGCCTCAGCTAGAACACACTATTCAGAGGGCTCCATTGACTTGTTTATTTTGCCAAGAAAAAATTGTTTTGCTGGGAAATATGGCTACAATTATACACTGTAAAATGTATTTAAAAAATAGTAAATGTATTTTTTAAATGTAAAAAAATAGAGTTTTCATAATAGGTTAGTGCTAGGTAAACCTTCTTGCTTTACAGGAGATGAAAGAAATGAAGTGACTTGCACACATTAAAGAATTAGTTCTCTTTTGGAAAGCTTTAATTTTAGTTTTAAAAAATGTACATCCTGTGTTAAAATATTACCTAATTAGGCCAATATTGAGGGTTTTGATCTTGGACAAAAAACATGAATTTTGAGTTTGGAGATTATGAGATATATTTTTGTTGCAAGTAAGAATGCCAGACGGTTCAAATGGGCAAGAAGTAGACTGGGTATGTTATCAGTCCTAGAGCTATTGGGATAAAGTGGATGATGTAAGAGTAGTAGATGAGATTACTTTAAAACTTTCTGGAATGCTGGAAAAAAATCTTTGTGATTCAGCTTCATTTTCATTTAGAGTACGATGCTCGAAAAGTACATTGATTAAATCTTAATACATTAAATTCCAGTGAGTTATGCTGAATCACCATGCCTATATACATGATTAGCAGAATGCATGTGTTTATCCCGTATGAATAGTGCAAAACAAATAATTTCTGGTTCCTTGATTTTCATTTTTGCTATACTTTATGCTGATCGTCGCTCTTCTATTCATTGTCTTCAGATAAAATACAAGCAATTAGATTTCGGCTAAATCAATTACAATAATTTTCTAGTACTGATTGCCTAAGGTTACACCCAAAGCACTTTCGTTGAATGTTAAAATAATCTTTTTATTTATCCTATTGGATAGGAAGTTCATCCTATTGGGTTTGTGTTTGACTAATTTAACTCTGAGTGATAAGATAATCTCTCGATTTGCTTCCAGGGTGAAGAATTTCATCTACTAGGTGTGTGATTGAATAAAACAAGTCCAGAGTAACTTTATCTTGTTTCCCAGTTTTGGAAAGGTTGTCTCTTTTTCCCATGTTCTGACTTCATAAGGTAGAGATCCTCAGAATAGCAACCTTTGAGACACCACAATGCCCCCACCCAAAGTACAGAGATTCAACTAGGTTGATTACATAACAGCACAATGTATCATTTCATTTGTATAGGGTAGCAAAAATAACTTTTATAAAATATATGCTCATATCAAGTTGCAAAACAGGAATATATTTTTTTAACTTGTATAATGTCTTAAAGACTTAGAAGAAAAACAACAGCTTGATGAAACAATGCATTAACTGAAAATTCACTCCATTTATGGTAAGCTGGCACTCCAAAGGAGGATCATATGGCTTATTTCTGAGTACTGTAGAAGGAGCTAGCTAGCCTTTAGAAGAGACAGTTTGATCTGAACTAAAAAAAAAGAAGTCCTGGAGTTTCTCTCTAAACAGTGAGGCAGCTTATTTCTTGGAAGACATGAAGCATTCACTCATGGTCTGCCTTTATTAGATTCTTTACTGAATTGGGCCTCTGCAATGGTTGCTATAGGGATATAAAAATAGGAATATAAAAATAATAGCAAATGTGATTTCTGTCTATTAAAAAGAGTTTGGGGCAAATGAAACAATCTAAAACATCTAAAGAATTTTAGTTTCAGAAGTAAATTATAAACCATATACAGATGCTGAAGAATCAAAAGCCAGAAAATTATCAATATGAATGGGTTTAGTCAGGAAAGATTTCTTAGACAATGTTGTGGTCTGAATGTTGGTATCCCCCTCAAAATTCATATTGAAATTCTAATGCCAAAGGTTGGTATTGGGAGGTGGGGCCTTTGGGAAGGGATTAGGTCATGAGGGTGGAGCCGAAATTTCAGAATACTGGGAATAAAGAGAACATTGTAAAAGCTTCTAGAGAGAAAAATTAGAGGGCATATTAAGGATCTGGCATCAAAATGACAATGGGCAACTACAATTCTGAAAGTTAGAAAACAATGGAGAATTTGAAAACAAAATCCTGAAAGGAAATGATCTAGTTTAGATCCACTAAACTATCATTAAGTACAAGGAAAGAATAATGATATTGCTGGGGGCGGGAGTGGGGGAGAAGCCAGTTTCCATGTAAGTAGTCTAACTGCCCTGAGGCTGCCATTCTTTGAAGAAGCCCAAACTAGACCACGCTGAGAAACCCAAGGGAGAGGCCCTAAAACTACATTAAGAGAGATACCTGACTAACCCTCAGCTGTGGTAGACCTCTTAAGGTTCCAGCTCCAGTGTGAATGCAACCTCAGTGGGAGACACCAGGCCACAAGCGCCCAGCTGATCTTTTCATAGAAACCAGGAGACAATAAGTGAGCATTGGTGCATAAGTCCTCTAACTTTCGAAGTGCTTTGTTATACAGTAATAGCAGTTGGAAGAGTTACTCAAAAAGGTTTTAATCTATGAATTGTAGTCCACTAAAATGAGGGACAAAACCTAGAAAAAGAAAATCTTTACAGGCAAGAAATCCAAAATTGGAAAGAGGCAAAAGAAATTCCCAGGATGATAGTTGGGCCTGCAGGTCTAGAAGGCTGCTGGTCAAGATTAGAGTAAGAGGACAGAAAGTTCCAGGAGAAAGTAGGCTAAGAAGGAAATGAACTAATAGAATACCCGCTACATTTACTCATCCAATAAGGATAAGTGCTTTCTCTGTGCCGGAAACTTATCTAGGCTCTGAAGATACAACAAAAAACAAATTGGCCAAATATCTGTTCTCAGAAATTTGCATTTTGGTGGAGGATGAAACACAATAAAGGAATACACTGTACTAATAAACTTACAAATATATACACTTTTAGTTCTATACATTCAAATATTTTGAATGGGTATTTTTCTGTAATTAGTATGTAGTAATTTGTAACTGACACATTAAAACTAAGGAAACAGAAAACCAAGGCAATTATTAAGTCCAAGAAAAAAAAATGAATGTACATACAGCATACTATGTGGCTCATCTGATAATAATAAATAATACTTTGTGCCAGGCACTGTTTTAAGTGCTTTTTATTTTATATACAGGTCCACAGTCCTTGATCCAAAAACTTTGGAACCATATGTGTTTCAAAATTAAAATATTTTCTCAAATTTTAGATATATATATATATATATTCTTCATTATTTAACACATCCAGTTGGGTCTTAGCAGTATTCTAATCAAAATTCATTTTGTATGGTAAAATGTATGAAAATCCAAACTAAGAGAGATAAACAAAATTTTAAATAGCTTTAGGTCAGTTCTGGGCAGCATTTGCCACCAAATGAGTTATGAAAGAATTTTCCATTTCAGAGCTCTGAAATGGATTTCAGAATTATGAATAAGGGTCGTGGACCAGAACTAACTTACTCAATCGAAACAACAACTCTCTAAGATCTTATTATGTTCCGATTTTATATGTGAAAATCCTGAAGGAAACAGAGAAGCTGAGTGGCTTTGCCGTAGGCCACATAGCTAATAAGACTTGCTTAGTCATAATGTCGTTAAACACATTTAATGTTTTAAGTTTAGTACTACTTGACTCTTAAAATGTCACACATATACTTCAACTTTAATGAATATTTTTATGTTTTGATATGGAAGGATCCAAGATACATGAGTAAGGAGAAAAAAACATTGATGTTATGTGTTAAAAGCTACCATTAAAATTTAAGTGTGTGTGTGTGTGTAACATGTAAATGGATAGACTATCTCTGGGAGACTGCAATGGAAGCTGGAAATGGTGGTTGCCCCTAAGGAGAGGAGCTAGGAGACTGGAAGATAGGAGTAGGAGAGAAATGTCACTTTGTACCATGTATTTTTTGTAAATGTTTGAATTTTGTACCAAGTGATTGTATTTAAAATTAAATTTAAAAGTATTAAAAACATAGATACCAAAATGTCAGTACTGCTTAGTTAACTCTGAATGCTGAGATTTTAAGTTTTTGTTCTTTTCTACATTTTCTACATTTTCTACAATGAACATGGATTAGTTTTAGAATAAGGGGGGAAACCTTTTTTAGAGAGTATGTATATCCTTTATTCAACTATGGTTTTTCTACTAATTTGGTATCCAGGAGTCTATGACTATAGAAGTATTCAGATTTTGAAGAATGAGTAAATCTGGGGTTCTTGGGCTAATAGATGAAAGTTGTTATTGTCATAATCCATGGTGGGCTCAAATAACTTTTGGTAGGAGCTCTATTTACTCAGTGGTGTTATAAAAGTTATTTAACTGTAAAACTGCTTACCTCATGGAAGAGTTTTCTGGCAATCAGGAAAAAGACAAATAAATATACCTCTCATAATAAAATTTAAGTTGTTTTCCAAAATTAGAGCAAGTCCTTTCCCCAAATCTCTTTCCTGTTATCATCATTAATCTAACTCACTTCTATAAGATTCAAGTGTCAACTCCAAAGTACTGATAAATAATATTTCTTATGCAAATGCAAGTTTGAACAGGCAAATATAAGCTTGGAAAATGTCCCAGTACACTTCATATGAAAATGTGCACTTACGTTGAGAAAAAAGTCTGAAGGTAATGGGTCAGAAACTATGTCTTAGGACTGAAGCAAAGGTTGTCCTTCTCAAACTTTTCCTCTTGCATCTAGGGTTAGGTTTAGAGGCTGGCTTCCTTGAATAGATTCGATTTAGATTCCTCCCGGAAGCTTAACGGTTACCAGGGAGCTATGTCCTTAAAAGACCCATGCAGTAGACCGGATGAGGTCGGTGCACTCAACACCACCCAGCGGCAACAACAACTAATGGGGGAAGGAATGGGAAGGAACAAAGAAAGGAGGACACAGAAAGGGGAGGGTGGGGTCGCTGTGAGTGTGGGTGTTTGTAGAGGAAGCAGACTAAGTAAAGTGACAAGCAGCAAGGCTACTAAAGAAACTGAAAATGAGAAGTATGAGGAAGGAGAGAATAGAAGAGAAAAACAGATTAAAGAGACAAAGGCAAAGGGTGTGACCTTAAATGGATGTGACATCTTTTTCCATCCACAAGAGAAGAGGATAGAAAAAAGTTTTTTAAAAAAAGAACATAATAAGATCGTACTAAGATGGGGGAATATTGAAACAAAAATGGGAAAACAGTCTAACAATATAACCAAAGAGACAGAGAAAAAAGGTAGGTGATTTTATAGACTCCCCTGCCAACCAGTATTCTTACAAATCAAGTGGAATTGCGAAAACAGATTTAAGTCATACACAAAATAAAACTGAAAATTTCACTTTGCAATGAAACTAATTAAATCTCTTCACTAGATTTCCTTATTCAACCGGTTGTTTTAGAATCATATGAGAACACAGCATAAATGCAGAAATATCTCACCGTACAGTGGGAACCCCTGGCATGCAGACTGTATCTGGTCCTCAGCATATTTCATCTAATCCATAGAAGAATTTCCAAAAGGAGATACACAGTATTTCATGCTTCCAATTGCAAACATTCATTGGGGTATTAGAACCCTTGGTGGTAATATGGCAAAAGGCCACAAGATGGTGATGGTATACCTGAAAAGACCTCGATCATCTGCAAAATTACATGCACACACATCCTTACCAACTTTCCTTAGCAAAAAATTGGCTCAGGGAAGTAGGGTGATGTGAAGGAGAAAAGAGATTTGAAAATCTAACTACCTTTAGATAGTAATAAAAAAACTTCTTATAACAAAACCTAGAAGTATTTTTTCCATTTGGTTTCTCTTTTTTCTCCAATTGTAAAAAAGCGGTACTTTTAAGACTGACGGACACAAAGGGTATATTTTTCAACTATGGATGCTCTCATTTTTATATATTTATTGATTATGCAATACACGTAAATAAAGTAACTGTTACCTTTTTGGGAAATTTTAAATTTTTTGTCCAGCTCCATAAGACAAAATTTCCCTAACGAGTCCAGTGAAGATTTTATTTCTTTGACCGCAATTTATTTCCTTACTCATTAGGGTAATGACGGGCTGGGTTAAATTCCTTACTTTAAATGG